ATGCTACGATCTTAGTTTTCTGAATGTTGAGTTTTAAGCCAACTTTTTCACTCTCCTCTTTCATCATGAGGCTCTTTAGTTCTTCACTTTCTGCCATAAGGGTGGTGTCATCTGCATATCTGAGGTTATTGATATGTTAAAACTGAAGTTTTTTTTTTTTCTTCCCTTGGGCCATCTAACTGAAGTTTTTCTCAGTTTTGTTGATGTTTTCAAAGAACTGAGCTTTGGTCTCACTAATTTTCTCTAATGTTTTTCTGTTCAATTCTATTTTTAATCTTCAATATTTCCTTTATTCTGCTTGCTTTGGGTTTGGTTTGCTCATCACTTTATAGTTCTTTAATGGTAGAAACTCAAGTTGTGCTAGGTTAGGTTAATGACTGATATCTTCCTTCTTTTTTAATATGAGCTTTTGCAGCCACAGACTTCCCTCTGTGCTGTGCTGTGCTTTGTTGCTCAGTCGTGTCTGACTCTGCGACCCATGGACTGCAGCCCGCCAGGCTCCTCTGTCCATGGGGATTCTCCAGGCAAGAATCCTGGAGTAGGTTGCCATGTCCTCCTCCAAGGGATCTTCCCAAACCAGAGATCGAACCCAGGTCTCCTGCACTGCAGGCAGATTCTTTACCCTCTGAGCTACCCAGGAAGCCCAGATTTACCTCTAAGCACTGCTTTAGCTGCATCTTTTAAGTTTTGGTATGCTGTATTTTCATTTTCATTCACTTGGTAGTATTTTCTAATTTATGTTATTTCTTTCTTTGATCCATCAGTTATTTAGAAGTCTTCTTTAATTTCCATATATTTGTGAATTTTCTGTTTCCTTCTGTTATTGATTTCTAATTTCATTTCACTGTGATTAGAAAACATACTTATGATCTAAATACTTTTAGAATATTTGAGACTTGTTTTATGATTTCATATATGGTCAATCCTGGAATTCTGCTCTTTCTGGTTATAGTGTTCTAAATATGGCCTTAAATTTATAGCATTGTTCATGTCTGCTTTTTTAAAATATTATCTTCTGCCCAATAATTCCATCCATTATTAAATGTGAGGTATTAAAATCTCCCATTACTACTGTTGAATTGTCTATTGCTCCCTTCAATTGTCAGGTTTTGCTTTATGTATTTGGGACTCTGTTATTAGATGTATATATGTACATATCTTTGTGATGTTTTGACTTCCATTATAAAATATTTTTCCTCTTTAGTAATCATTTTTGCCAACGCCTATTGTGTCTTAGTGTAGGCACTACAGTTCTTTTGGGTATTGTTTGCATGATTTATCTTTTCCATCTCTCTATTCATAATCTATTTGAATCTTTGAACCTAAACTGGATCTTTTTTAAAAACTCAAATTATTAAGTCAGTGCTATATATTTTATATATATAAAATGGTATTAGTAATCTACATGTGCAGTTTTCTACCTCATGTACAGGAAAGGAAAAGTATAAATGCACAGGATTTCACAGCCTCTTGGTTTAAAAAGCAAAGGATAAAGTAAGGTTTCCATTCTCTCTCATACACACCTACAGACACATGCACACGCACACACACACACACACACACACACACACAAGAAGGGACCAAGTATTTCAAATGGCTCCAAACCTTAGAAGATTCACAGGTAGTAGTGCTGAATTTCACTGACAGACAGGAAAATATGTTACTCAGTGTTGAGTTGAGCCAACTGATATAGTGTAAAACTTTAGGTTCTTGTTTATTTTTCTTCTAATCAGTGGAACTCTACCTCAGTCAGTTCAGTTCGGTTGATCAATTGGGTCTGACTCTTTGCAAACCCATGGACTGCAGCACACCAGACTTCCCTGTTCATCACCAACTCCCAGAGTTTATTCAAATTCATGTCCATTGAGTCAGTGATGCCATCCAACCATGGCGGAGGAATAAGACGGGGAGGGGAAAGGGGCAAACTCGGCCCCAGAGACGGCACCCCCTACCAAACGGCAAACAGGCTCCCAGGTTCTAACCAAAGACTTTCTAAGATTCTGGATGGTTGACATTCGCTGGGAGGGTCGCGGCTAGAGACCAGCTCCCCAGAACAGACACAAGGCACACCTAACTGGCGCGCACGGAAACTGAGGCTGGGACCGCAGAGAGGATAAGGTGCACCGCATCCGGGGACAGTGCGCTCCTCAAGCTCCTGGCTGCCTGAGCTGCTCGGGCCGGGGAAGGCACAAAACGCAGGCCCAACCGAGTCCGCACTTTTGTGGAATACCTGAAAACTGGAACCGCACGCAACACAGGGCCCACTCCATGTAGAGCAGCCGGGAGCCTGAGCAGTAGATGGGGAAAGCACACACCCGTGAGTGGGGGCAAACCCAGTGTGGCCGGAACACTGCGAGTGCTCCCCACACAAGCCAGTGACATTTGTCTGCAGCGCCCCTCCCTCCCCGCAGCGCGACTGAACAAGTGAACCCAAACAAGAGACCACCTCAGCCCACTTGGTTCAAGGCAGAAATGAGACACTGAAGAGACCTGCAAACAGAAGCCAAATAAACAAAAGGAACTGCTTCAGAAGTGACCGGTGCAACAGATTAAAATCCCTGTAGGTAACACCAACTACACGTGAAGGCTTCCTTGGTAGCTAAGATGGTAAAGAGTCCACCTACAATGCAGGAGACCTGGGTTCAATCCCTGGGTTGGAAAGACCCCTGGAGAAGGAAATAGTAACCCACTCCCATATTCATGCCTGGAAAATCCCATGGACCGAGGAGCCTGCAGGGCTACAGTCCATGGGGTCGCAAAGAGTCGTGACTTCTCTTTCACTTTCTTTGACACTGGAAGGGGCCTATAGATATCGAGAAGTGTTAAGCTGGAACAAGGAGCTATCTGAAACTGATCCAAACCCACACTGCCCACAACAGCTCCAGAGAAATTCCTAGATANATTACTTTGCCAACTAAGGTCCATCTAGTGAAAGCTATGGTTTTTCCAGTAGTCATGTATGGATATGAGAGCTGGACATACTTTCTTTATAGAAAACTGAGTGCTGAAGAATTGATGCTTTTGAAGTGTGGTGTTGGAGAAGACTCTTGAGAGCCCCTTGGACTGCAAGGAGATCCAACCAGTGCATCCTAAAGGAAATCACTCCTGAATATTCATTGGAAGGACTGATGGTGAAGCTGAAATGCTAATCCTTTGGCCACCTTATGCAAAGAACTGACTCCTTAGAAAAGACCATGATGCTGGGAAAGATTGAAGGCAGGAGGAGAAGGGAACTACAGAGGATGAGATGGTTGGATGGCATCACCGACACGGTGGACATGAGTTTGAGCAAGCTCCAGGAGTTGGTAATGCACAGGGAAGCCTGGTGTGCTGTAGTCCATGGGGTGGCAAAGAGTCGGACATGACTGCAACAGAACTGAACAATGACTTACAGTGCTTGCTATGAAACAGACTGCCAGGCTCACCCCCAGATTCTTCTTTATAAAATCTGGAGTGAAGCCTACAATTTGCATTTCAAATAAGCCTCCAGGTGATGCTGAGTCTGTTGATATAGGGACCACACTCTGAGGTAAGGATTTACTCTCTCAGGTAACATGAAATCTTGAGAGTAGTTCAAACACTCCAGAATAACCAGGAACATCAGTTCTTCTAACTTGCTGCTCCATCCTCCTAGTTCATGAGCTTCATTCTCAAAGTTATCTCATGACCCAAGGAGGCTGCTCAAATTTTAACCACCATGTTAGCTTCTAGGCAATAGGAAAAGGACAGGATAAAAGGGTACTTCTCCAGTCTAAGTCAGCTCCTTTAAAGGAGCCTTACTTTGCAAAATTTAGTTAAAAAGCTTAAAAAAAGAAAATGGTAAATGTATTCTTTTAGCCAAGTACACTGGCATCCTAACCAAAACTGTTACATGTTACTAAGGAAGAAAGGAAGATTAGATTTTTGAATAGGTTTTAGAGACTCTAACATACTTCTTTAGTCTACATACCACCAACTTCCAACCACCAAGTCCAACAAAACTTGGCCTATTTCATAAATCTGACCCATAGGTTTCATCACTTTTTCTCTTTCTGTAGATCTTACTTTCATCACAGCTCACCTACTTTATCATAATATCCTTTTGATCAGTCTCCCTACCTCTTATCCTGATAGTAGGTATAAGATGGATTTTAAGGGAGCCAAAGTGGTCAAAAATTCTTCAATAGCTCCACATTTCCTATAAAATTATAAGGTATGAGGCATTTTAGTACTTCATGTTATATCCCCCTATATGACTATTCTCTATTAAACACAACAAACTGCTTCTCCCCTCAGTGCTCTCATCATGCTTTCTCTGCTAAGAAGGTACTCTTGATCTTTCTTCACCTTTACTGCTCATCCTTTATGATTTAACTAAGGTAGTACCTCCTCCAGAAAGGTTTCTATGACACCCCTCTTCCACAGGATGAGTATCCCTTCTGTGTAATCACATAAAATCTGTCCAGAGCTATCATTAGATATTCTATATTGTATTATGAAGATCTGTTTAGATCTCCAACTTTCTCAACATATGTATGTGCTTTTAAGTGTAAGGACCATGTTTAATTTATCTTTATATTCCCAGAACTGGGAATAAAGCAGATGCCAACTATCATCTGTTAAACAAAAGTATCACCCTTCATCGTGAGCTGGCCTACATACTGAAACTCTGTATAGAACCTGTCCAACAATCTAATAACCTTTTCTATTACAAGTAATATAGTCTGATTATGCAAATTCAAAAAGAAAAACTCCTTCCTTAACAACTCCAGTTAAATGAAATTTCAAAGTATACATTTTTTTTTTTTTGCATAGCCAAACATCTTTTATTTTTCACAACTAGAGTACCAAAGATACAACCCAACTAGCTCCAGAACACTTCCAGATTTTTTTTTTTATTTAACCAAACTAAACAAAGGTTTTAAAAGGAACATCTGCAACAAGGAAAGAATACTAATCTATCAATCAAAGCTGGCTTCACCATTTCTTGTCTTTTCCTTATCTTTATCCAAGTTCTTCACCTTTAATTCTTCTTCCTCTTTTTGGCGGATGTATTCAGTATCTTTCTCTGAGTTTGGCACTGATTTTCCCTTTGGTAGCAAGAAACAGTCAGCATTCAAAACTTGCTCAGCAGTCACTGAACTTCTACAACAGATCAAGCTACAGAGGAGGGATTTGACATTATCATCCTGCAAGAAAAAAGAGATGTTGCAAAAAATAAAATCAAAATGAAAGAAAGGACAAACTTGTAATAAGGACTATTCAATTCAAAAATAATTTCAATTAATGATGCAGAGCTAAAATCAATTTTTCCCATTTTTTTAAAGCTTTTTACCAAATCAACTAGTTTTTACTGGAAAGGGATTAATCTAGTATTAAAACAATGGAATCAAGTTACAGGGGGGTAATGCAGAAAGGAAAAGAAAAGAATCACAACTGAAATATTTATCAAAAGCAAGTGAAATTCCCAAAAAATATTTTTTTACTTTCCATTTTCCCTTTTTTTAGGGGACTAGTCGGAATTTGACACTGAAAATTTTACATTGAAGTGCCTCTGTCTGAAACGGTAGCCTCCTTTACTTGGTCAACTGCTTTTGGTTTCACTTATGAAATGATCTCTTGAAACAGGTCCACCACCGCTAACATTATCATGATCATTATGGAGGTCAGAATTTATTATGTACCATGATTTCAAAGAATGTTATTTTGTGTTATCACATGTTAACACTATAATGTTACTCTTCCATTAATTCCACCTCCCAAAGTATGTTTTTTTCTTTTTTGTTCCCTATGGATGACTCTAATCAGAGCACATTTCATATGGAATAAAAATCACCTATTTACTACTAGTGTCCTCATTAGACTCTAAGGAGTATAAGATCAGAAATTTTAGTTTCTCATTTCATCCCCAACAATCAGCACAGTGATACAGCAGGCAGTTTACATCTGCTGACTGAATGAATGTCAATGCCCATACTGCATTCTACAGAGTATGTTTTTAAACATATTTAAAATGTTTAAGATAGTGAGAGAGTCAATTCATAGGCAGGTTGATAAGAAGTCCGAGAGTCCCAAAGGAGAGAGGGGTCTGGGATTCTTGAGGAAAAGATAGGGGTCTGGAATTCTCAAGGAGAAGAAAACGACAAACTTTATTTTCCTCTACATTCCTTAGTCTTAGTCACATAAAACATTTTTAATCTTTAAGCCTGATGCATCTGTAACTGATAATTACACAACAAACAACTCAGTTTAAACTCTGTACTAAGGATTATATAACAATGTATCCTGCTTGAGGACAATTTCTCCTTCCTGAAAACCTTCTGGCTAATCCTGTTATCTAAAATATAAATTATGGGAGTGGGTCTAGTAAGATGTTTACAACCTCCAGACACTCTTTGGATTTATTGTAGTAACTAATTAAAAAGTATGTAACTCCCTTGCTAACACTAGCAAGGGGCGGGCATTCTTTCTACCCCCTTCTGATGTCTATGTCAGAAGCTTTCTCTATCTTTTATACTTTAATAAAACTTTATTATACAAAAGCTCTGAGCAATCAAGCCTCGTCTCTAGCCCTGGATTGAATTCTTCTCCTCTGGAGAAGAATCCCAGCCTCTGAATCCAGCCTGGTTCAGCAACAACCTTTCAATAATACCTTTAGTATGCATTGTTATTATTGTTTAGTCACTAAGGTGTGTCTGATTCCTTTGTGACCTCATGGACTGTGGCCTGCCAGACTCCTCTGTCATGGGATTTCCCAGGTAAGGAGACTGGAATGGGTTCCCATTTCCTTCTCCAGGGGGATCTTCCTAACCCAGGGATAGAACCCATTTCTCCTGCATTGGGAGGCAAATCCTTTACCACTGAGTCACCCATGAAGCCCAATGAGATACTGGTATACATCTGTAAGAATGGCCACAATCCAAAATACTGACTGAGTAGCAGTGAGGCTGTGGAGCAACTCTCATTTATTGCTGATGGCAATCAAAACTCAAAAATGGTACTCAGAAGACAGTTCTATACTATACTATTTAAAACTACTATTAAAAAAATATACTATTTAAAAATACTATTACCATATAATCCAACAATTGCACTCCAAGGAAATAAAAACTTATGTCCACACAAAAACCTGCACATGCATGTTTAATGCAGTTTCATTCATAATTGTCAAAACCTGGGAACAACCAAGTTGTCCTTCGGTAGGTGAATGTATAAACAGACTGTGGTGCATACAGATAATAGATAAAGGCTAAGAATAAATGAACTATCAAGCGATGAAAAGATATGAAGGAATCTTACGTGCATATGATTATGTGGAAAAAAGCCAATTTTAAAAGGCTACATACTGTTTGATTCCAACTATATGACATTCTGGAAAAGTCAAAACTATGGAGACAAGAAAAAGATCAATCTTCAGGGGTTTGGAGAAAGTAGAGGCGAACAGGTAGAGTATAGAGGATTTTTAGGGCAGTGAAAATACTCTGTATATTAATGGTAGGTATATGGCATTACACATGTATTCAAACTTTAAGAATGTACCACACTAAGAGTAAGCCATAATATAAATGATGGACTTTAGGCAACAACAATGTGTCAATGGAGGTATCAACTGCAACAAATAACTCTGGTAGGGAATACTGATAATGGATAAACTGTGTATGACAGAGAAGGAGATATATGGGAAATCTCTACCTTCTATTCACTTTTGCTATAAATCTTAAAATTGCTCTTAAAGCCATAAAAGTAGTTGCAAAACATAAATAATTTCTTTAAAAAAAAACTGGCAAGAGAACTTTTACAGCCTAATCATTATACTTTTTTAAAAAATGTATTTTTTTTTTTTTTTGGCTGCACTGTTTCTTCATTGCTGCATGAAACCTTTCTCTATTTGTACTAAGAGGGGGCTGTTTTCTACTTGTCATGTGTGGGCTTCTCATTGTGGTGGCAGAACAAGGGCTCTAGGGAACATGGGCTTCAGCAATTGCAGCCCACAGCCTTAGGTGCCCTGCAATATGTGAAATCTTCCCAGATCAGGGAGCAAACCCATGTCCCCTGCAACAGTAGGAGGATTTGTAACCACTGAACCCCCAGGGGAAGATCATTATACTTTTACAGACTTGTTTACTGCCATATTTAACCCCTTAACATCCAGTCACACTTGGGATGATTCCATTACAAAAGACTTTAATATTTTCATGTCTTAGTTCAGATACTGTCTTTACCTGAAATGCCTAGAACCTCATTCTAACTCTCATAAAATCCTAATGCAACCTTGAAAATTCACTTCAAATAACTATGTGGTGGCATTTATGAATAGCTTCTTACATCTTTTCCTGACAAATTAAATATTAGCTTCCTCCAAACTATTTTCGTAATATTCTATATATATAGATATTGGTTGTTTACTTGTTCATATTTCTAACTCATTCATTTCTTCAATGTTTCAATCCTAAAAAGCAGACCCTAGTTCAATTCCTGATATAGAACAGACACTCAAAATATGTTGGTTGTATACATATATATATCTCAAAGGAATATGAATAACACAGATGTATGACAAAGAAAAGATACAGCTAGGTACTTATAAAAAGTAGTAGAACACTAAATTTAATAAAATATTATCTTTGAAGATATAGAAACTACTGCTTTTCAATAATTATTACAAAGATTATATATATAATTCATTTGACAAATTCCAGTAGTGATCTCTAGCAATAATTTTCTGGCAATGGTGTAAGTAGGGCACTTAAATTTTTTCAATACTTCTTTACTGGGAATGTTATTTGTATTCTTACAAAAATTAGATGACTTCTTCAGTTAAATAAGTTGATACTACTGCTCACACCTATATCACAGGTTTCCAACAAGTAAATGACAAAAAGGTCACATACCAAATGAAACTGATCCATCTTTGGGATTCCATCCTCATTAGTTTCAAATTCCTGATTCTGAACAGAAAGCTGTTAAAGAAATGAGAACGAATAAATTCCCAACATACTAAAATACTGATCCTACAGCAAAGGCAACTCTGAAACTGTTCAGGTTCTAGAGAGAAGAGAAGAACTCAAAGAAAGCGTATTAGTTCTTGCAAGACAAGATAACTTTCATGATAACAACTACCAAACAGTCCCTGGGGTTCCTAACATATCAATGCACACACTCTAAGCACACTTAATACTTCATTTTACAAGCAAATACATTAAAATGTAGTGGCTTATAAGGTGCTGATTTCACCAATACTCGTACGTTAAACACAAAGAAAATTTATCATGCAAGTTTCCTTATTCCCTAATACCTAACTTGTGTTTAAGAAATTCTTGTTAAAATTTTATGAATTATTAAATATGAAGAATTTCTTACATGTACAAAGATACTCTAAATCCCATGTATCCATCACCTAGCCCTGACAACCGTCAACCAATGACCACTCCTGCCCTATGTATAAATCCATGCATATTATTTTTGAGGCAAATTCTACACATCTCATAATTTTATCTATAAATATTTTAGTATATACTTCTAAAAGATCAAGTCTTATTTTGACATAATCACAAAATCACACTTCTTGTTCTGTCGCTAAGTTGTGTCTGACTCTTTGCGAACCCAGGAATTGTAGCATGCCAAGTTTCCCTGTCCTCTACTATCTCCCAGAGTTTGTTCAAACTCCTGTCTATTGAATCAGTGATGCTATCCAATCATCTCATCCTCTGTTGCCTGCTTCTCCTCCTGTCCTTAGTCTTTTGGAGCACCAGGGTCATTTCCAATGAATCAGCTCTTCGCATCAGATGGACAAAGTATTGGCGCTTCAGCATCAATTCTTCCAATTATATTAAGGGTTGATTTCCTTGAGGATTGACTGATTTGATTTCCTTTCAGTCCAAGGGATTCTCTAGAATCTTCTCCAGCACCACAATTCAAAAGCATCAATTCTGTGGTGCTCGGCCTCCTTTATGGTCAAACTCTCACATCCATACATGACTACTGGAAAAACCATAGCTTTGATTATACAGTCCCTTATTGGCAAAGTGATGTCTCTGCTTTTTTACTTGCTGTCTATATTTTTCATAGCTTTTCTTCCAAGGAACAAGCATCTTTTAATTTCGTGGCTGCAGTCACCATCCACAGTGATTTTGGCACCCAAGAAAATAAAATGTCAGTGTTTCCACTCTTCTCTACCCATTTGCCATGAAGAGATATTTCTAAAAGATAAAGTCTTATTTTGACAGAATCACAATACCACATTAAAATTTAATATAAATTATCAAGTTTTAAAATTTTTAATCATCTCATACTTTACTTTTATATCATTTATTTAAACTCAGATCCAAATAAATTCCATACAATTAGAAAATGAGCAAGGCCACTTCAAATCTCTTCCTGTTCTTTACCACTACGTACAACTATAAAGGTTGGAAATAACATAAAATATAATCAAAGGAGAGCTCCACAGGTCAAAAGAGGAAGGTAAACTGATGAAAAGTCCCAGAACTGGACTAACTACAAGGTGACAAGGTAGTGACAAGGTGTCTTATGACTTTCTTCCACTAAAAGGAGATAAAGTCTTATTTTGACACAATCACAGTATCACAATAAAAATTAGTAATTCTCTTTAATATAAAATACCCAGTTTTAAAAACAAGATGACTCAAACAGGGTAAACTCAAAGAAAACTAACCATATTTCTAAAAACTGAAAGTAAATTAATGAAATTAACAAAAATTAATTAACATTTATGAAAACTGAAAGCAAAGAAAAAATCTTAAGTGAAAATAAGCATAAGAAACATTACCTACACAGTAACAGAAATTTGAATAGAAAAGAATTTCTCATGCAAAACCATGGAAACAATAAGTGGCACATTTTCAACTGATAAAAAGAAAGAATTTTCAACCACAAATTCTATATTCAGTGAAACTCTCAGGAAAGAAGGTGAAATTAAGAAGTTTTCAGATGACGAAAAACTAAAGAAATTTGTCATGAGACAAATGAGACTTAAAGAATGGCTAAAGAAATACTTCAAACAGAAAGGAAATAATTTTTCTAAAAAAGGAGTATTGAAGCATTAGAAAAGAGGAAATGACAATGTAAAGAACAGACACATGAATAAATACCTAAGACTTTCCTTCCTATCATGAGTTTTCCTAAATCACATATGATGACTGAAACAGAAGTTATAACACTATTCTGATGTGCAACACAATGATACTTAAAAGTGGGTAGGGTAAAGGAATGTAAATAAAAGGCTTCAGCACTTTGGTCAAACTGTTAAAACATTCATACCAGCAGAATAAACTGTGAGTAAAGCTATTATCAAAAAGACAAGAAAGAACAAGCATTGGAGAGGATGTGGAAAAAAAGGAACCTTGGAACCTTTGTACACTATTGATGAGACTGTAAATTAGTGCAGCTGCTGTGTAAAACCGTACAGAGGATCCTCAATTAGGAACAGAACTTTTATATGACCCAGCTATTCTACTTCTGAACATTTATCCAAATAACACAAAACCACTCATTACCAACCATGGGAATTTGGGACAAATCACCTCATTTTTCTTTGCCTCAGGTTCCTCACTTGTAAGGCTATTTTAAGACTTAAAGTGGTTAAATACTTTAAAAATAACTGATGCATGCCACACACTCCATAAGTGTTATCTACTTTTGTTTTGTTTAATTTCAGGTAACTTAGAACATATAGTTAGCAATGTATATACTGTCTCTAGGAGGGTCCCTGGTCTTATTATCAAGAACTATAATTAAATGTTGACAATAGTTGAATCTGGCTGAAGATAGGGAGTTTCCTTATTTCTTCCATTGCTTTAAATATGTAAAACTTTCCACAACAACAGTTAAGGCAGTAACTGTGCTTGTTCTGACTGACTTGCTTTTACCTGAGGGATAATGATTTGTATAATAGATTTGGTTTCTCTTAATGGTTGGAAGAAAGGTAAGAGCTATCCTAGTGACTCATTCATCAGGGATGGGAAACAGGCTTGTTTTTAAATACCAACTCTGATCAGTCAGTGCTACTTCTTAATGGACGCCGTTTGAGGTCATATAAGAGATCAGTGAACATGATATCATCATGTTGCAGTGTCTACTATGAGCATAGAAGAAAGGAATGGCAACATATACATTGTATATTATCAGCTTTAAATAGGTTTTTGTGGTGTGCATTTATGTCCGCATCCTGCTTTTCTTTCTTCTTATCCTCAATATATACTGTCCTGTTCTGCTTTCAATACCCCCATGAACTGCCTTATAGCCTTTCTGGAACAAGACAAGGTATTTTGTAAATGAAGGTAAAGTTAGCCAGAAGGCAGGCATATATATATATATATATACATATATATATATATATATATATATATACAATGCTGAAACTCTGGCAAAAAGACTAGATTACTGTTTTAAAAATTAGTTGATATATTTTTAATCGGAGGAACACTGTTTTACAATGCTGTGTTGGTTTCTGCTGTATAACAAGGCAAATCATTCAAGATTTACTCTCTTAAATGTGAGAATCACAACAAACAGGTGACACAAGAGTTATAAAAATAAAAAATCCCATCCAAGGGAGGTCTGTAAGTGAAAACTTCAGCAGGTTGTGAGCTAAATCCTTAGAAATGCTAATGTTTAATAGATAAGCAGTGCTGAAGAGGATTAAAAGAAATGCCCAAATATAAGGCAAAAAAAGAATTTAGTAGGTGATGTGTCATAGAAAATAATTACTGTAGATATTTTTCAGATAGATCAGACTTACCCATAATTTGAGGCTGAAGGAAAGACCTTCAAATTAGAGAAATAGACTAAAGATACAGTGAAGACAGAAGAATGGTAAAAGTGAGGTACAAGAACAGGATAGAGAATGGGTTGTGGGCACATACAGAAGGCTTGCAATGAAGAAGGAGCACTTTAATTCTCTGAGACAGGAGTGGGAGACAGAAAACTGGGTAAAGAGACAACCAGTTTGTAGACAGAAGCCCTGAAATTCGATGGAAAGCACATTACCGTGATCTGGTGTTTTTTTTTTTTTTTTTAAGTCAAGTCTACTTAAATGAATGGGGATGAAATTTAGGCAGGGGCCTGAGGATAGCACTAAAATGTTTACGTATAATCACTGAGAGAAATATGAGAGTGAACTGGCTGTGGGCAGGTGAAAGGACTAAAAGAAAGCTGAGGACCTAACAGACTGATGGGGTGTCATTCTGCAAAACCATTCACTTCCCAAGGTATTCAAGGGCTCCCATTCCACACTAGTATCTGCTCTTAAATCTGAATAAAACACAATCAACAAACCTAAGACGACTCAGAAAAGTGGAAGTGAGAAGGTAAAATGGAAAGAAGAAGGTGAAGTGACGAGGAACCTTGGGACTTAAGAAATGACACAACGGTGAATTCCCCGGGTTTTATTTTTGACTCTCCTATATCTCAAATTGGATGCTAGAGAAGTCTGCAACCCAGAAATGGCAGGATCCACAGACCAAAAAAGTCCCAAGAAAAGCCTACTACACCTAGTCAAAGGACTGGGAATAGGGTCTTATAGAACAGAAAATGTTTTTAGTTCAGTTGTTCAGTCGTGTCTGACTCTTTGAGACCCCATGAACCACAGCACACCAAGCCTCTCTATCTATCACCAACTCCCAGAGTTTACCCAAACTCATGTCCATTGAGTAGGTGATGCCATCCAACCATCTCATCCCTCTGTCATCCCCTTTTCCGCCTGCCCTCAATCTTTCCCAGCATCAGGGTCTTTTCAAATAAGTCAGTTCTTCGCATAAGGTGGCCAAAGTATTGGAGTTTCAGCTTCAACATCAGTCCTTCCAATGAACACCCAGGACTGATCTCCTTTAGGATGGACTGGTTGAATCTCCTTGCAGTTCAGGGACTCTCAAGAGTTTTCTCCAACACCACAGTTCAAAAGCATCAATTCCTCGGTGCTCAGCTTTCTTCACAGTCCAAC